CCCCGAGCCGCACACAGCACCTCTGCGATACCTTGATGTAGACAGGCAGGGTGATGTTCAAGTTGCAGATGGCCTGGTGCACCAGGCCTCGCGTGGACTTCGGCTCCTTCATAAATGATAGTCGTCCGCACGGCTCCTGAGTCGTGTCTCGTACCTTGGACAAGAAAGGCACGTGTGTCACCACACAGGACGCATGCGGCTTCTTTAAGGAGATGATTCCCCAAAGAACTGGGGTCAGACAACGCATTTGAGAATGCCGAGTAAGGGTTCGAGGCTGCTCCTTTCTCCCTGTCCTTTTACAACTTACAATTGTTTTTTAAAAAATCATTCAGCTTTTTAAAAAATTGTGGTAAAATAGACCTAACAAAATTCACCTTTTCCACTCGCCGTGTTTCAGTGCACAGTCAGTGGCGTCAGGCGCTCACCCAGCTGTGCAATGGTCACTCCTTTGCAGCATGTTGACCATCCCAAGTACCAACTCTGCCCCTGCTCCGGGCACTGCCCCCCTCCTCTGCCCGGCCCCCGGGGACTCGCTTCCACCTGCCTCTACACTTGCCTCCTCCGGGCCCTCGGAGATGGACTCAGACCATGTCTGTCCTTTGTGCTGGTTAATGTCACCCCACATATGTCTTCGAGGCCCATCCGTGTGTAGCACGTGTCAGAATTTCATTGCCTTTTAAGGCTGAATAACATTCCATGGTGTGTATAGACCACTCTTGGCCTATCCATTCATCTGTAAATGGATATTCGAGATGTTTCCATGTTTGGGTGAATAATGCTTTCGTGAACATCAGCGGGAAAGTAACCGAGTGCCTGCCTCAGTCCTCTGGGGCCTCGACCGAGGAGGACAATCCCTGGCCCTGCGGCCGCCGTGGTCTCACGCTGAGCACTGCGCACTGTTTCCCAGGGGCTGCACCGTGTGCCTTCCCACCAGCAATGCATCGGCCCCCGTTCTCACTCGGCCTCACCAACACGTTTCCGTTGTTTGGGTAACAGCTATTCCCATGGGTTCGGAGCAGGATCTCACTGTGGCTGGAATATGACTTTGCTGAGCATCTTTTCATGGGCTTACTGGCCACCTAACACCTTCCTCGGAGGAATGTCTATTCAGGTCCTCTACCCGTTTTTGTATGGGGCTGTTTATAAATGGTGCTTGCACAGCAATGGTATCAAGTATTAGTTCAATCACACAGCCGTCTGTGTTCAGTGGCTCTGCCGCCCTCAGCAGTTACTGCTCCATGGAGTGGCCTGTAGGACAGCTTTCATCAGGCAAAGCTGGTGACCAGCAATGGCACCATGAGAGGCTCAGCAGAGATCTTGGGAGAACTCAATCGATCTAAAAAATTAAGCAGGTTGCCCAGCCTGAGTGGCTCAGTGGTTGAGCATCGACCTATGAACCAGGAGGTTCAATTCCGGGTCAGGGCACATGCCTGGGTTTCGTGCTCCATCCTCAGTAAGGGGCGTGCAGAAGGCAGCTGATCAATGATTCTCTCTCATCATTGATGTTTCCATCTCTCTCTCTCTCCCCCCCTTCCCCTCTGAAATCAATAAAAAAATATTTTAAAAACATTAAGCAGCTGAACAGATTTGTGCTGGGCGAAACCATGAGGGTTTGGTAATAAAAGGGTAAGAGATGATGAACTGCTTGGGAATCAGTCGCCTGAGGCTGGACTGGGAAAAGCGAGGGAGCCCAGTGCTGTCCTGTCCTGTGTGGGCGGGGCATCGGGGCCTCCAGAGAAGCGCAACGCTTCATGGACAACGGGACAGTGAGTGGCGAGAGACGGTGCGGAACGGAATTATCACTTCCTTCCTACTTCACAAGCCTCTCATTTACACGTGCTTGTCCCTCCTTAGGCGTGGGATCTGGGGGAGACGTAATGATCATCGCCAAACTCTGCCCAGGATGAACGGTCTGAACAGACAGGGAGCTCGTGTGCACTGAGCTGTCTCCGGAGTGGCTGCTGAGCGACTGTGGAAGGAGGCCCGGCGAGAGCGCTGCCTGGGGTCATCTCACTTTACGCTGAGTGGGCTGCTAGGCCTTTGGAGAGCCCTTTGCTCTCCTCACTGGTGAAATTCACACATTTAAATCACTGAAGCACAAATATTTAAAAGGAACAACATTTAAAAAGAGAGAGGCTTTCCTTTAAAATTTGAAAAAGCGCCAAAATCGGTTTGGCTCAGTGGATAGAGCGTCAGCCTGCAGACTGAAAGGTCCCAGGTTCGATTCCGGCCAAGGGCATGTACCTTGGTTGCGGGCACATCCCCAGTAGTGGGTGTGCAGGAGGCAGCTGATCGATGTTTCTCTCTCATCGATGTTTCTAACTCTCTATCTCTCTCCCTTCCTCTCTGTAAAAAATCAATAAAATATATTTGTTTAAAAAAATTTGAAAAAGCCAGTTTTTCTAATTAATGAATTGGCTGTTTGTCCTTAAACATAGTCTTAAAATTAAATTTGAACTTCAAAAATGAAAATGGTTGGTTTTCCAGAACTTTAACATTTTACAGATATGGTTTAAATAATCGCTGAAAATGACTGAAAAGCAAATATTCTCTCCTTCTAAAGGAAGTTAAACCTTACTTGATGTAGAATAAAATGTGCGTAAAAATTCCATATAGATAATTACCTTGACAAAGAGAGGAAGTCTGTTTTCTTTAAAGGCAAAAAAACTGAATATGTGATGCTGGCCACTCTTGGTTAATGGCACGAGATTGCCAAAGCAATCAACGTAGATGGGCTTTCCTTCCAGCACCTGGTGAGGCAGAGAAAGCAGCACAAACTAGAGTAAGTGCAGTCATTACCTGTTATTTACATAAAGGAGTGGGGATCCCTGTTGGAATGTTAAGACCTACCCACAACCACCACTCAGTTGCTATGTCTTGTCCCCCTGGGGACAAAGCATGTCCTTGGGGGACCTGCAGGTGCGTGGTGGCCTCTGATGCTGACGCCCTTGTTTCTAACGTTACCCCCAAACTGGCAGAGCTTTAACTCCTGGAGTCCATCTTCTGATTGGGTCGTTTTTACATCCAATGAGTCACACTACTTGACCTCACCGTCCACACCCACGCCGATGACGAAGCCTGAAATCAGCAGGAGTGACGCAGAGGCCTGGGCAGCTCACGTCCACACTGACACCGAGGGTGCCCTTCCTGACTGCTGTCCTTACCACTGAAAGTTACTCCGAATGGGGAAAGACAAGCCTTCTCCACTGCTGCCGCCGCTTACACACTTCATCGCTGAGTCCTCCCCCTCCCCCCGCTCCGTAAGAGAGCCCTTTCCCTCCTCCTCTCAGGGTGGAGGATGAGACGATCCTGACAGGACTGGCCCAGACGGACTAGGAAGAGCTCATGTTGGACCTTGACCTTCTAACTGACCAGGATGAGGACTGGTCTTTTGTTAACGTGCGGTTCTATTTACTAACCACTGCTTTACGTGTAATCTAAGAAGAAAGGCACAGACGACGTGTCATGCGTTGCTTTGGAACCCGCACCTCCACGTCCCGGCTGCGGGCCACCTCCGCGAAGTGCTCCTGCTGCTCCAGAGTCTTGTCCACCTTGTCGTCAGTCATGCAGAAGCACCGCAGCCGCGCCTCGATGGGGTCGTGCGACTTGGCGAACACCACGAACTTGGCCATGTACGGCACGCAGATGATCTCCCTGTACACCTGGGAGGCGAAGGCGACGGACTCCTGGATTTGCCGACAGTCGATCAGCCAGAACCTGCAAAGGATTTAGGTCAGGCATCCAAACCAATGGACAGCAGCCTGGCCGGCGTGGCTCAGTGGCTGAGGATCAGCGTCAACCTGTGAACCAGGTCACAGTTCAATTCCTGGTCAGGGCACGTGCCCAGGTTTTTGAGCTCCATCCCCGGTGGGGGGCGTGCAGGAGGCAGCCGATCAATGATTCTCTCTTCATTGTTGATTCTCTCTCTCTCTCTCTCTCTCTCTCTCTCTCCCCTCATCTATAAAATCAATTAAAACAAATTTTTAAAAATCTTTGAAAAAAAATTGAATGGACACCAGTTGAAAAAACCCCTCAGTTCCTTCAATATGAGCAAAGTCATTAGTGCTTCCTGGAAACAGGGAGGTGGGAGACGATGAGCCGGGTGGGCAGAGCGAGCAGGAGGGCACTGAGGACCAGGTGTGCACCGCCAACCACTGGACCCGTATTTGTGATTTTCTTCCTTGGAAACGCTTCCCAGGGTCCAGCTTCTGAAATCTGCCCCGAGTCCCAGCACCGTCCACGGAGGGAGCCTGGGGCCATTGCAATGGGTCCTCATGGGGGAGCCCTGTTCCCCTTGACGCCCCCAATCTTCCTCTCATATCCGGAAACTCTTCTCAATAAACTCTACCCAGCGTTTCATCGCGTTACTCTTTTCCAAAACTCCCGCCACCGAGGTGGATCAATCCAGCCGTTTGGAAACCTGCTTTCTCGGCAGAACTCGCGGGCGTTGTTGGGCGTGGCTCCCAGAGGAAGTCACTGCTCTGTGCTCCTTCCTGGCTGGTGGCCTCATGGGGCCTGTGACACGGCCTGGCCATGTCCCCTCAGCGTCACTGCTCAGGGCACTGAGGTTGCTGAGCCTGCCCAGCGTTCCCCGACCCCCCACCCCCCGCACCGCCCCTGAGGAGGGACCTTTCTGCCGAGAAAGCTGAGGCCGCCAGATGCAAAGTGTTATCCACACCCTGTCGCCCTGAAACCTCACTCCGCCTAGTACTGCCTCCTTCCCGCCATCTTTCCACGCCCCTGAGGTTCCCTTTCCCTCGTCACTGGTTCCTTCCTGTCCCTCGTCCACCTCTCCCCTTTTTATTAGCGTTTGATGAGATACACGTAACATAAAACTCGCCATGCTAGCCACACCTAAGTGTACACGCATTGGCATTATTACACTTACAGCCCTGGGCTGCCATCACTGACCATTTCTGCCATTTTCCCCCAAACCCTGACTGCTAACTGCCCCGTCTCCGCGCACTCGCCTATTCTGGGGACCTCGCGCGTGCGAACGTCCGGCTACTTCCTGCAGCGTCACGCTCTCAGGGTCCAGCTCAGCCGCTGGCTCCTGGCGGCGCTCGGCATCCCCGTCCTCACTCACGGTGCTCACTGCTCCCTCCATCGTCGGGGGGTGAAATGGGGAACACGGGACACAGGGGCTGCCTGGCCTCCCGAGCAGGTCCCCCTCAGCACTGCCGCAGCCACGTGGCACTCTGGTCTGACCTCCGACCTCAGATGTCTGCTGCTCGCCCCCACCCTGCTGTGTCTTGTCCATGGTCCTCTCTCTTGCCTGCCAGGCTCCCTCGGGCGCCCTCTCTGCCCCAACGTGCACAGCCCCTGCACCCGGCAGGGCCCCGTAACCCTCTCCTCAGCACTTGTCATCTCTGGAGCGACAGCGGGGCCAGCACCCCAGCTGCTGCCCATGTGTGCCCTTCTGCTCTGTCCCCTGAACAGGAGTTTAAGCTCTAACCCTCTCAGCCTGTTTTCCCATCTGTAAAGTGGACACAGTACCAAGTCCCTGTAGTGATGAAATCAAATGCGTGGGAAAGCGCCCAGCACTCCCTTGCCAGGCACACACGGGAGCTGATGGTAAACGGAGTGAGCACATGAAACAAGAGTGGACAGCGTCCGCGCGGTGAGGATGCGAGACACAGACACACACAGTCAGGCCCCTAGTCACCTAGACCCCGAACCCACCTGCACACCATGTGCTCTCGGACCCCTTGATATTCTGCTGGGAAGCAGCTCAGGATGCGCTGGACAGCAGGCCATCTATCACCCCCAGGCCTCTGGGACTGGACCCATCGGGGGTGGCCGCTACGGGAGGCAGGCCCCACAGGCAGAGCTGCCAATCACTTAGTGTCCTGAGATTTCAACCCGACTGGCTGAGTTTTGTTACTGTATCATCACTATTCACTTTGCTGGCAAGCAGGCCCAGTTTAAAATATGAAAGTTAATACAGATTGTATTTAAAACCAACCAGAAAAACTCACTTTTAAAGAACATAGAAACAAAAGAAAAAGCAAAATCCCTGGCGGTGGGGCCCGTGTGGCCTCGGGCTGGTCTGAGGGTGGACGTACCTGGCAGACACGTTGGTGGTGAAGGAAACACACTCATTGACAAATGTTAATGGCGTGGTTCCTGTGATGTCTTCCCACTGCGCAGGAGTGGTCCCGCCTGAAACAATAGGATTGTTGAAAATTAGGCAGCGCTCCAGCCTCCGATCGTCAAGCGCGTCTGTGGTTCCCTGCGCTGGGCCGCGGCAGCTGAAAGGCCACACTGAGAAACAGCGCTGACAGCACCGCCCAGGAATGAGCTTAAAGGTTATTGGAGTCGCTGCTTCAAATGTCTAGGTGTTCTGCCCTCGACCCGACTTCCTGAGGCTGTTACTGTAGTTGGTAGGCCCTGAAGATCAATTTGATTTGTACAGGGTGGATGAATTTAAAAGATCCTTTAACTGACTAAGGAGTTAAAGGCTTTGTTAAAATAATGAAAAAATTCAGGTAGTTTTTGTTCCTGAACTTCATGCTTTATACAATTATTTTCATAAGAGAAAAAATTCTCTCCGTTTGCAATGGAAGGTTGTAAAAAGTACTTGGGAGACATGAACAGCTTAATGAACACTGCAGGCTGATGGACAGGTGGACGAAGGCCCAAGGAGGCCTAATCAGGTCGATGGCGCCTTGGCCACATGGTCCCTCGCTTGACCCCTGGCCAGGGCAGGGCACGCCTGCACGTGACATCTCACCTGTTTCACCTCCACACACTACGTCTCCCATGACAGAGGCTAACTGTATGCACAGGGACTAAAAACCATGGGAAACGCACCCAGGAACGTGGGCGGGAACGAGGTCCTGACCCCCTGCATCCCTGCTAGGCCACGTAGTTTGCATTTTATTCAACGAACGGGGCAAGCTCCATGGCTTGTTATGGTGCATACAGAAAAGCATTAACACGGAGGGAGAACTGGAGAGAGAGCAAGATAAGGGAGAACACAACTGCCAACACCAGGGGAGGGGAGAACTTCCTCACCCCCGGGGGGCGAGCAGGGCAGCTGACCCGAGCACGGGCGGGCGTGGCTGAGCCCAGGAGCGCGCGGTGCTGTGAAAGGGGGGCGTTTCCCGCCAAACGATGCCTGTGAGCTTTCTACCTCCCACTCTGCGATGGGGCCGAGACAACCAAGAGCTGGGAGTGTCTCCCTGGAGGTTGGTAGTTGTCTGAACACTAACACAACTTCCAATGGAAAAGACTGTGTTCAGTGAATCCTGAAAAACCTTCACTGTTTTCTCAAGGCTGCCCCACAGGTCCGTGATGACAGACCCGATTCCCACACAGAGGTCAGGACTGAGCTGCGGGGGGCAATGGTGCAGGACGATGGTTTTCAGCAGGTGGACGATGAGGTCTCTGGTGAAGGCCGACAGGTGTGCGGGCTTGGGCTGGAACCCTGCTCTGCACAAGCCTGTGGTATGGTCTCGGGAAGTCACAGTTCTCAGAGCCTGGCTTCCTTTTCAGGGGGACGGGGCTAAGTGCGGGCACAGGGCCGCGAGGCAGAGACGACCGTGAGCGCTTCCCAGGGGCCTGCGGCTGTACCGGCAGGTGGCTCACGCCTGCCGCCTTCTGCTCCCTACTGGGGATGCTCCTCCTGAATCCGCACGGGCCCTGCAGGCACCTCATGACAAAGCGCTAACACTGACAACTATGTAGGTTTCTCCTTCCAGAGCTTTCTACTCACACCGCACGGGCGCCTCACCTGTGATGCTGCACAGGAGTCTCAAGGTCGGATCATCTCCCCCAAAACCGTTCAGCATGACGTCGCTGGCGGCCTTGGGGATGGGGATGGTCATGGTGATGGGCTTGTGGAACTTCCTCCGTCTGGGCTCCAAGGTGACGATCGGGCTGAAGGTCGCTTTGTTCCCCAGGATCTTCCTGACCAGCTCGCCGTGCATAGGCTGCGCCTTTTCCGAGGAAAGCAGAGTGAGCACCAGACCGCGTGCTTCCTGTCAGTATCTTTGAAAGCACTTTTTGTCTCATCGTCAGCACAGGAGCTTCCAGCATAGGACTGAGGTAGCAGGTACTCAGCCCTCCTGCAAGAGACCTACTGTGTGCTGTGGCAGCCCCTGCTCTCCAGTGCGATGTGACCATGTCTGTGCGGGCCCGCCCCGTTCCCACAGCCAGTCCCCTCCCCCCAAGGTGCCCCTGGCCACGCACGCGCCCCTCGGGGAACACCGCCTGCACCTGCGGGACCACCGTGCTGCTCAGCACGCCGCCCTCGGGCCCGATCAGGTGGCTGTCCTGCTTGACACGGGATACCACGGCGAAGTACTGCGGGAAGTCACGCGTGACGATGCGGCAGATGCGCTTACGGTCCAGGTCCTCAGCGCTGTCCAGCACTGCGGATGACAGCGCACGGGTCCAGGTCAGCGCCTCCTCGGGGCAGGAGCGCTTCCACCAGAGCAGCGCCCGGT